TCCAGAAGCTTACTTGGGAAGACCGTGCAACTCAAGAACGCATCATGTCCCCTCAATAAGGAAAAATCTTATTAGTGGCTCTGCGCTATGTCGAGACGGTTTTAAACTTGTGTTTGAGTCGAATAAATGTGTTATGTCAAAGTATGGAACCTTTGTTGGAAAAGGCTATGAGAGCGGAGGCTTGTTCCGCTTGTCTTTGGTTGATACTTTACCTCTTGCGTTGAATAATGCGACCATAACGTTAATGTTGAGATGAATGTTTGGCATTCTCGATTATGTCATGTTAATCTTGGTTGCATGTCCCGCTTAGCTGTTTTGAATTTAATTCCTAAATTTGACGTTGCCAAAAGCTCCAAATGTCATACATGCGTTGAGGCAAAACAACCTCGCAAGCCTCACAAGGCAAAGGTTGTGGCGAGAGAGTTGGCACCACTTGAACTCATCCATTCCGATATTTGTGAAATGAACGAATTTTGACAAAAGGTGGTAAGAGATACTTCATAACGTTCATAGATGATTGCACTCGATATTGCTATGTGTACCTAATTAAAACAAAAGATGAGGCATTACATTATTTTAAAACCTTTAAAGCCGAGGTGAGAATCAACTTGAAAAGCACATCAAGCGGTTGCGGTCCGATCGCGGGAGAATATTTCTCTAATGAATTTTCGAGTTTTTGATTTGTGCAGTATAATTCATGAGAGGACACCTCCATACTCACCACAATCCAATGGGAGTTGAAAGAAAGAACCACTCTAACCGACTTGGTGAATGCCATGTGGAGACAATTTGGTTTATCTAAGGAATGGTGGGGTGAGGCAATTTTAACGCGAATCATGTCCTAAATAGAGTGCCCACAAAGAACAAAGAAATCACTCCATTTGAGGATTGGGAGAAAAAGAGATTAAATATTTCTTATCTTGGCGTTTGGGGTTGTTTGGCCAAAGTGAACGTGCCAATAAACAAAAAGCTAAAAGCTTGGACCAAAAGCGTAGATTGTGTTTTCTTAGGCTATGCCATTCATAGTGTGGGCTATCGTTTTTAATAATAAATTCTAGTGCTCTGATATGGTGTTGGAGCGGTCATGGAGTCTAGAGATGCCACGTTCTTTGAGAATGAATTTCTAATGAAAATAGGTGCATCTAGCATGTCCGGTCATAATCCTATTCCGAACTTCATGAATCAAATATACGCGATGATAACACCAATGAGCTTGAGCAAAATCACGAGGAGGATGATAATCATCACTCGAAAGAGTAAGAGGCAAAGAGTTGCAAAATCCTTTGGAGAAGACTTTATTATATATCTCGTGGATGACACTCCCACAACCATTTCGAGGCATACTCTTCTCCCGATTCGACATGTGGAAGGAGGCGGTGCAAAGTGAGATGGACTCCATTATGTCCAATGGGACGTGGGAAGTGGTTGATCGTCCATTTGGTTGCAAAACTGTGTGAAATTTGTAAATGGGTGTTTAAAAGGAAGCCGAGGGCTGATGGTACAATTGAGAAGTACAAAGCTAGGCTTGTTGCTAAGGGTTATACATGAAGGAAGGTGAAGATTACTTTGATACTTACTCACTGTTGCTCGATTGACGACCATTATTCGTGTGTTGCTATCCCCGGTCTGCCTCACATGGTCTTATCATTCATTCGAGATGGATGTTAAGATGCCTTCCTAAATGGAGAGCTTGAGGAAGAGATCTACATGGATCTGACTGATGGGTTTATTGCAAATGGTCAAGAGGGTAAAGTTTGTAAGTTATTGAAGTGTTTAAAGCAAGCCCCAAGCGTTGGCATGAGAAGTTTGATAAAACCTTAACATCAGCCGGCTTTGTTGTGAATGAAGCTGATAAATGTGTATATTATCGGTTTGGTGGTGGTGATGGTGTGATACTATGCCTATATGTGGATGATATATTAATATTTGGCAACAATCTAAATGTGATTAAAGAAGTAAAAGAATTTTTGTCGAGTAACTTTGAGATGAAAGACTTAGGAGAGGTGATGTTATTCTCAACATTAAGCTTTCAAGGGAGGAAGGAAATGGTGGGGTAACTCTTATGCAATCTCACTATGTGGAAAAGGTCTTGAACCGATTTGGGTATAGTGAGTGTACGCCTGCTCCTACTCCGTACGATCCAAGTGTTCATTTGAGGAAAAATCACAGAATTGCAAGAGACCAATTGAGATATTCACAGATAATTGGTTCTCTTATGTACCCTAGCTAAGCATAAATCAGTTCGATATCTCGTTCATTTGTAAGCAAACCGAGCCGGTTTGTGTCAAATCCGGGAGATACTCACTAGAATGCTCTTGAGAGAGTGCTACGCTATTTGAAAGGGACAATGAGTTACGGCATTCACTTTCCTGTATCCGAGGGTACTAGAGGGTTATTGTGATGCTAATTGGATTGATGCTTGGATCGATTGTATGCCACGCAGTGGATATGTGTTCTTACTTGGAGGTGGTGCTTTGTTTCTTGGAAGTCTTGCAAGTGCATCGTTTTAACGAAGTCTACAATGGAAGCGAATCGATCGCATTGGATACCGCTAGTCTTTGAGGCGAGTGGCTCCGTGATCTCTGATGGATTTGCCGATTGTTGAGAAACCAATGCAATTTCCATGAACTGTGATAATCAAACTGTGATCACTAAGGTAAGCAGTTCTAAGGATAACATGAAGTCCACAAAGCATGTGAAGAGGCGTTTGAAGACCGTCGAAAAGCGAGAAACTCCGGAGTAATTGCATTGGACTATGTCCATACATCAAATAATCTGGAGATCAATTCACTAAGGGTCTGGCACGCAATGTGATAGAAGGTGCGTCGAGGAACCGGGTTTGAGACCACATAGAGCCATGTGGTAACCTATCCTATGTGATCGGAGATCCCGTGAATTAGGATGGCGAAACAAGTCGTTGATTGATTGGTAGAGACCCCTTAGATTATAGCTCGCTTTGTTGGAGATGCACCGTCTCTCCAATCTTGTTAAGCGAGGATGATTAAGTTCTTAATGTGATCCGAAGCGGCTTGGTATAGCGGGGATGTTGTCCTCTGAGAACATCCTATAAGGAACACACCTATATGAGCTCGATTGCTAGTGCAATCTATGAGATGTGGGTAATCTCTAGATGCTCATGAAAAGGTCTCAAGTGTGACTTATATGCTTCAAGCAGAGGGAAGGCACTTGGCAGCCTAGTATCGGTTAAGAGGCTATGTGAAACTCATCTCGCACAAAACTGTCAATTCAAGGTTACATCCATTGTTGAGGTTGTGAATGAGTGTAGCTAGCTTTCTAGATGGATGTTCAACTTAACGGTCTCCATCGAAACTTTGGTATATAAAAGGAATGTGGTTACGAGAACTCCAAGCTGCGTACCCTAGAGTTTGGTGGGATTGTTAGATATTATGGGCTTGGCCCATTTATTTAATAATTCTATTAAACTCTATGGTCCGTACATGTGCATTAATGGTTTTATACCATATGGGAATTTAATCGAGAGGCGACTCTACTTAAATACTTGGTCATTGGCGATCTATTTGAGAAGTAAAAGTGGATCAATGCATTGCCTTGCCTTGCCGCCGCCGCTTGCCCGAGCCTGCCCGTGCCGCATGTGGTGGGCGTGGGCGTGGCGAGGCAAAAAGCGTGATGCGAGCGAGCAGACGGCAGCAGTGCGAGCCTTTATTTTGAAATGACGAATTGATAGGATTTGATTTGTAACTCCGTGACTCTGGCTCTCCGTCTGTCTCTCCCACCCTGAAGGGAGGTGTGACCCCTCGGTGCCGTCGGCTTCTCGTTTTTCGGCCTCGCCTATAAAACAAATCCTCTCCTCTCGGTTAAGCTCTCTTGGCGAAGTACACCACTTTCAAAGAAATGAATAAGTTCTTCCCGTTCCACCTCCGTGAGCAGCACCAGAGATGGAAGAGTAGGCCTCCGGAACGCGTCTCCGCGTGGGCTTCACTTGCTCGGGTGAAGACGGGCGATTACGTTTTTGGGGAGTGTCAGTGCTGGCACGACTACTCGCTGGTGAACCAAAGAGCGGTGTTTCTTCACGGCGTCCTTTTGCACTTTGCATCGAGCGGGACGACTACAACAACAAAGCACCACCATGGCCTTTCTCAGTGAAAGGCTCGGCCCTAGGTATAATCTTCTTCATCCTCTTCGAAGTTTCATTATCAATATTATGATGTTCCTAGGCAACCGCTTTCATATTCAACATGCTCTGTTTGGTTGATTTGGATGATTATGCTAGTCTTGGTTTTCTCGGTTCCTTTTATTTTTGTGATCATCATGATCTTGATATTTGAGAACACATCTTTTATATTTATAATCATGTCTGTGATGCTTCAGCTATGTAAAACTATGTTTCACATATGTTTTGGCTCTATAGTTTGTATTATCATCATGTTAACATTTGCCATGAATTGTTTCTGTCTTCTTATTCATGACTTTACTCTCCTTTTTGTTGCGTTATTTTTATGGATTAAAATAAATATGAAAATGCCTTATATTTCAACATGTCCGCTGATGCTTTCCGCGCCGGTCATCCATCCCACCAAACGCCCGGGATTTTTTTTCTTCATAAACAAAAAGAAAAAACGAGACTCGGGCACAGATTCATGGAGCACGACAAGGAAGGAAACCGGGGGTTGCGCGCACGGCTGCCTGGCTATAAAAGGCGCTCCACCCCCCGCTAGCTCACCAGCTCTCCACCAAGAGCTATACCCAGCACCACTACCTAACGCTACCTGCCTTTACACCGCGGCGGTCGCGTTGAGCTCGAGTTCGCGTCCGTCCCAGATCCGCCGTGCTCCTCCATTGCTCGCGCAAGGTTGGTTGCTGCTGGCCTCGCCTCGCCTACTCGTCTTTCTTTCCTTTCCTTCCCGCCTGGATTTGGGCACGAGGCGCTCCGATGGGTCGATCGGGGGATCAAATTCAATCAATTCGACTGTGTATAATACGAATAATAACGCGGTGGGGGTCTTTGTGTCGCGGTGCAGATGAAGATCACGGTGCGGGGGTCGGAGATGGTGTACCCGGCGGCGGAGACGCCGCGTCGCCGGCTCTGGAACTCGGGGCCCGACCTGGTGGTGCCGCGGTTCCACACGCCCAGCGTCTACTTCTTCCGCCGCAGGGACGCGGACGGGAACGACCTGACGGCCCCGGACGGCAGCTTCTTCGACGGGGCGCGGATGCGGCGCGCGCTGGCGGAGGCGCTGGTGCCCTTCTACCCGATGGCGGGGCGGCTGGCGCGCGACGAGGACGGGCGCGTCGAGATCGACTGCAACGCCGGCGGGGTGCTGTTCCAGGAGGCGGACGCGCCCGACGCCACCATCGACTACTTCGGCGACTTCGCGCCCACCATGGAGCTCAAGCGCCTCATCCCCACCGTCGACTTCTCGGACGACACCTCCTTCCCGCTGCTCGTGCTCCAGGTAAGGAATCGATCCATCCCCCTAAGACCTCCGAGGTTCGGGTCTTGCAATTCACTAGGATTTTGATGATTTGATCGGGGAAGGGTTGAAAGTCGAAAGGCGAAACAGAGTGGGGTTTGCGTGAGGAGATCGAGGTTATCTGAGTCGCCGCCAGCGCACAACGACTGGGTCAACGTAGGTAGACGCGTCACAGTTGTTGGGTGGGTGCATCCGTGCATGTGCGGCGTGTGGACGAGACGACATAGGGGCGGGCCGCGGGCGCCGGCGCCGACGCCGACGCGGATCGGTTCGCGTGGAGACAAGCTGTCAAGCCTGCTTGACGTTGCTCCATTCCTGCGACAGCCGAGGATTGAAAGGACGATCTTCAGATCTTACATTTATGGAAGAAGAGTTCGAGAAAAGAAAGAGAGAGTCCAACACTTGCACTGGACCAAGCCTCATAAAAATGCGACCAAGCCTGCAAAGGGTTCCGTTCCGTCATATAACACTGCTCCATAAAAGAAATCGTACTTGTAGTCAAATAGGCGTCGAATAATGCGTGCTGACGGTGCTGTGCCACATTTAATTACTACGTACTATAAGTTAATCTGTCAGAGATAACGATGATTTGGTGTTTTGCAAAAGTCTGCGTTTGTACTGTGTTTCGAAAAGAAAAACGCTCCCTGCCTTTTCATCCTTCACATACCGCTCCTCCAAATATAAGGAAATATATAATTTGAAAAGGTAAAACATTGTAGATTGTTACCATCACATCAGTAGGTTCGTACTTGCGTGCCTTTCAGTACTTCACTTTTGTAATAGTTATAATAATGACATATTGTAGAGAAGTCAATTGTAAAAGTAAGCCTTGAAATACGTGCCTGAGGTTGCTGTTGAACCTTCTCTGATGGATGCGGGTGCCTGCGAGCATGTGGCTTTGGGTTGCAAATTGTTACCATGTGGTAATCTTCTTTGTTTTTGTGCGTTTGCTTGTTGTAATCCCCAAATACCATTTTGGCCTGGTTTATATTGCAAGTTTTTTTCACTCTCTCTTTATCACATCAAATCTTGGGACACATGCATGGAGTATTAAATATAGATAAAAAATAACTAATTACATAGTTTGATTGTAAATTACGAGACGAATCTTTTGAGCCTAGTTAGGCCATGATTGGACAATAATTGTCAAATATAAACGAAAGTGCTACAGTGTCAAATACTGATTCCTAACCCCAATCTAAACAAGGCCTTTGTAAACATCTCTTTCCCTCTGAATAAAAAATATGCCTCATGGCACAGTCGAGAAAAAAGTACGCCTTCAAATACTTCGAAATCTTAATGTCTTGTAAAAACAACTCGAGGGAGTACTAAAAACATATTTCTTCGTTTCTAGAATAGCACGGTGCTTATTTTTGAGAAACATTTGTGAGAGTGAAACTGTTGTGTTACCACCTGGCCTTGAAAATCCATATGTACTGTCTAAATGTTTAGAGCATCTTACGCCAAAAAAAAATGTTTATAGGATCTTTAAAAATCTCGTTCAAACATCTCCCAATCGATTTTTTTGGCAAGAAGGGGAACAAGGTCTTCCAACAGTTTTATAAAAACCTGCCCCTAATGTTAAGCACTTGGTCCCTCAACTCCTCTAGGCACCCTTTATACCCCCTGGGTATAGAAAGCCATGCAGCCCGAGGCCCGTCGGCAGCACGCACGCAGCAACACGGCCTGGTGGTGGTGGCGGGCCCGTCTGCGGGCACGGCCCGATGGATGGACCGAGCCAGTGTCTGGGCGCCCCGCCACAACACGTGCACTGCCGGGCACGGCAAGACGGTGGTGAAAGGTTGAAGCAAGCCGCGTGACGCCCGGTGCCCCATTTGGCCCAAACTGCTCACGAAGGCCGGCAAGCGGCAAATATAAAGTTAGCTTGCAGAGGAGGCAGGAGCCCTGCCTGCTGCCCCAATCCCTCATTCCCCCGGCCTCCCCAATCCCTAACCCTAATCCTCGTTCTCTCTTGCTCGCTCCACCTCGCTCTTGCTCTGCTCTAGATCTCGATCCACCGCCGCCACCGCCATCGGCCCCGTCCTCGGCTCCGGTGACCTCGCCGGTGCTCCTCCACTCCACCTCGCTAACCCCGTCCGGCTGTCCTCGTCTCCTCCCTCCGTTTTTTGGCGGTAAGGCCATGGAAAGGCCGACGCCGGTGAAATTGGCCGTGCTCACCGGCGGCACGACGACGAAAACGGCCGTGGGTGGGCGTGCCGGAGGCGCGCACGGCGAAGACGGCAGCGGCACTGCGTCGGTGGCAGAGTCTGCGGGACGCGCCGCGCCACGCAACGACGGTGACGGGCGGGCGGGCCAGCTGCGGCCCGATGGCCATCTATACCCCTGGGCAGCCTCTGTGTCCCTCCTCTGTTTGCCCCTCCACCAACTTCTCTATCTCTCCCCTTCCGTCCAGTTTTCGAATTCTAGGAATCTAACTATTAGATATATTACTAATTTTTATAATGACAATTTGCTATGACACGGATTTCAAGTTACACTTTGTCTATTTATTAAACTTATGATTATAGGATAATATATGTGATTATAGATTTAACGTATCAAGTTTATATTGTGAAAATTAAAGATTGTTGGCTAAATTACTAGTCAAACATCGTGCCTTATAAACTGCACAGGAGAAAACTAAAAATATAATACATATTAGTTTTATTCTCCTAGCACAATCATTTTTTATAACATCCTAGCACAATCATTAGTTCATTAAATGATTCTTAAGGAGCTTAGGGCACTCAAAATGCATAAACTATGATAGTTTATATAGATATTAATTGCACTCAGCCTGTTAGTTTGGCTGTGGCTTGTCGTAAACGATCGTAAATTTCCAGCCGGAACAGTATTTTTCTCTCATACAAACCAGCCAGCAGTACTTCTTCACGAACCAGCAACGATACGAACCAGCCAACCGAACAGGCTGACTACCATGTAGGCAATTTGCTGATGTGGCAAGTGATTTAATGAGGAGACAGAGAAAAAATTCAAGAAACCAGGTCTAACTAAGAAACTAGGTCTTCACGGTTATCAATGGACAAGAAACTGCTCGTAGCCCGTTGGAAGAGCGAATATGGTTTCTATCACTATTTATGTCATATGTACTGTAGAAAATCTTGCATTAGGAATGATAGTTTTTTTTTTACGATGTCCTATGCTATAGAAATTGTTAATAGTTTCATGCATCAGAAGTGCCCTTAGAGCTCATGTTCATGGAATTCGTGGAAACCATACAGTAGCTCGTTTTCCGTATAAGGTCTTAGGGGATAAAATTGTACCAATGGTAAGTACGAAAACGACAACGAAAAATGAATAAGATAGATTTCTAACATGGTCCTCCCATGGTCCCATACCATGGTTGGTTGTTAGGTCGAAACATGACATCCTTTTCCCTTCGAGAAGAAAAGAAACTATCGTGACAGCAACGTGCTACCACCCCGAGTATGCATAAGCGTATGACCATGACCTATGTCTATGATCCATCCTGGCTTGCCTTCCCAGCAATTCCGGCACCACCCGGTTGCCATTTCGCAAGATTTCACTTTCTTTCGACTAGTGAACAGGTGCCTAGCACATACTGACTGTATATCTTTTAACTGATGCACATGATAGCACACATGGATTGGAAACAAAAACAATTCCTTTTTACTCACTCTGTCCCCCAAAGTAACGCAATTCTGCTCTAAGAAGTCAAACGATTTCAAATTTAACTAAATCCATACGAAAAATATAAACATTTATGATACTAAATACATACAATTAGATTAATCGTGAAATGCATTTTTATGTTAAATCTATTTGGAGATATAAATGTCAACACTATTTTCTATAAACTTGGCTGAACTTAACCTTGACTTGTCGAAAGCCTTTAATTGCATTTGTTTTGAACGAAGGGAGTATTTGTTTAAGGTTCACAGATGCTATCAAGGTCATCACTCAGCAGGTGGGAACCTGGCAACTTGCCAAGGTGTGACCCAGTAACCACTAACCACGCTGATGATGCTGAGTGATGAGTAATAAAGTGGGTTGCTTCTTTCGTTGAACAGCCAAATGTAGTTGCGCGCCAGTTGTTATTTGCTTAGCATGCACGCGTTGCTTGCTCGATCAAAGAAAATGATAGCCTAACAACAGAAGCGCCAGAAGGATGATGCTTTAGACTTTTCTTGAGACAACAAGCAAAGTTTGGTGGTTTCTTCTGTTCTGATCTTGCAGGTCTCTTGCTTTGTATAGTACAGTAACGTTCGTGATTGGTACATACTTAGCTGTGCATCCATGATTATGGCTGGCCTCAACTATTGTGAAAACGTAGCATGAAGCGAGCGAGGTGCCAAGAAACACCAAGATTGGCCAAGCAAAACTTTAGATTTTCTGCAATTGTTGGGATGTGGGTTGTGCAATAATCCAATAACAATGGTACTCCCTATGTCCCTGAATAAATAGATTTCTAGAATTGTCTTAAGTCAAACTTTGTAAACTTTAACCGAATTTCTAGAAAAAACCGTTAAGATTTATGATATCAAATTAGTTGTTATTCTTAGATATATTATAGAATATATTTTCATAATATGCTCATTTTAGTTGTTAAGGCTTCAACCAAACAGCGACACACAAACATAAAATCCGACAACAATTAGTTGTTATTCATTAGATATATCATATAATATATTTTTATAATATGCTTATTTTATGTCATAGATGTTGTTATTGTTTTCTATAAAGTTAGTTAAACATTAAAAAAAATTGATTGGCACAGATTTTAAGAATTGATTTATTTAGGGATGGAGGGAGTATTCAATTCAAAATTGTACTATGACATAAACGTGGGATCCGCTTGGAGTTTTGGTTACATACTCACATTGGATTGAAGTTGCCACTTGCAAGGTGTTAGAATTAATTCATCTAGTCCATTCGGTTTTGGTGCGATGATTGTTTCATCATGGTAGTTAGATGTATCTTTCTGAGCCTGCAAAAAAAAAAATCTTTCTGAGATGCTTGTTTCTAGTTTTCTACTATAAAATCAGTAACACTAATCGACAATGCAAGTAAACTTCCGTATAGTTGATGGATGATGGCTGTGTGTCGCTGTTTGGTTGAAGCCTTGCTAGGCAGCTGCGCAGTCAGGCAACAATCTGGACCCAGGCTGATGAAATTATAGGCCTGAGCTTAGTTGTCGGTCCTTCATACTCCAAAGTCCAAACTTCTTTTCTACGGTAGGTAGAGAAGAAAGATTGGCTGCCTCCTATCTCATTCATTTACCTACCGGCATCTAGTATATACGTATTGAGTATATTGATTTGGACTTCAGTCTCCTGCTCTCGTCTTGTATTCTTCGTTTGATAGGGACAACCGGACAAGTTAAAGAATGCTTATACTTAAAAAAGAAGAAGGTCAATTTCGGCACCTAACCAAAATTGGCTCTCTTGTTTTTGCTGCAGGTGACCCACTTCAAGTGCGGTGGCGTGGCTATCGGCGTTGGCATGCAGCACCACGTAGCCGACGGCTTCTCCGGCCTGCATTTCATCAACTCGTGGGCGGACCTCTGCCGCGGCGTCCCGATCGCCGTCATGCCCTTCATTGACCGCTCACTCCTCCGCGCGCGTGACCCGCCGACCCCGGTCTACCCGCACATCGAGTACCAGCCGGCGCCCGCCATGCTGTCCTCTGAGCCGCCACAGGCGGCCCTCACGGCCAAGACGGCGACGCCGCCCGCAGCCGTGGCCATCTTCAAGCTCTCTCGCGCCGAGCTCGGCCGCCTGCGTTCGCAGCTCCCCGCGCGCGAGGGCGCGCCGCGGTTCAGCACGTACGCGGTGCTGGCGGCGCACGTGTGGCGGTGCGCGTCCCTGGCGCGCGGCCTGCCGGCCGACCAGCCCACCAAGCTGTACTGCGCCACGGACGGTCGGCAGCGGCTGCAGCCGCCGCTGCCGGAGGGCTACTTCGGCAACGTGATCTTCACGGCGACGCCGCTGGCGAACGCCGGCACGGTGACGGCCGGCGTGGCGGAGGGCGCGTCCGTGATCCAGGCGGCGCTGGACCGGATGGACGACGGGTACTGCCGGTCGGCGCTGGACTACCTGGAGCTGCAGCCGGACCTGTCGGCGCTGGTCCGCGGGGCGCACACGTTCCGGTGCCCCAACCTGGGGCTCACCAGCTGGGTGCGCCTGCCCATCCACGACGCGGACTTCGGGTGGGGCCGGCCCGTGTTCATGGGCCCCGGCGGCATCGCGTACGAGGGGCTCGCGTTCGTGCTCCCCAGCGCCAACCGCGACGGCAGCCTGTCCGTGGCTATCTCGCTGCAGGCGGAGCACATGGAGAAGTTCCGGAAGCTCATCTACGACTTCTGATCTCCAACTCCTCCCCAGAAGTCATCATCAGTACCAACCAGTACGCGCAGCACAAAGAAGCAGAAGCGCTAGCAAGCGGCGCAGGGAGGGTGATTTTTCAGCTTACTACTGGAGTCTGGAGGGAGTAGGTTGCAGCAAGATTCTTTGATTTCACACATAGTTCCTGCACACTTTTCCGTTCCTGCCTGCCCCCTTTGGGCAGGGTGTATGTATACCTTTTTATGCTGTATGATTTACGAGCCCCAGCAATTGTACGATGAATGAACAATTTATTAATCCGTTCTAAAATGATACAGATTAATAAGATTAATTAACTTACCTCTTGAACCTTTTTGTATATATAGGCATAAAGGGGTATATGCAGGGGAGTGCAGGACAGTGGTGCGATTCAAAACGCTGAGTTCGATCCAGACCAACCAATCTGCTTGACAGGAGCTAAGAAAAGTACTACTACTACTACAGTACTCTGCTCAATTGGACGATCGAGAAAGTACAGCATGATTACTTTGGTCTGGACATGATCATATGACTGGACCTTCTTTGCCATGTGTACTAGTTGACGAATTGAGACATCCCAAACGGGCCCGCTGAATAATTTGGGTTCTAGAAAGACACTGCACAGTGCACATATCGAATACAGGACGCACGGCAACGGAAAGAACTTGGAATGTCGTCTGATTCCATGGATTGCAGCGATCGGAACTGGTCGCACAGGTCCCCTTTGTCTATGACCCGAACCACATGCACATGCGTGGACAACGTGGCAACAAGAAAGATGAGGATTAGGTCGAGTCGAGCTCCATTGCTTGGTGGCTGGTGGGTCATGGGTGTTCGCCAACCCTGGCCCGGTTGCAAGTAGGTGACGACGCTGACACGGGCTCCATGTGCCCTGTAGTCGGGAGTCCACGGCACGGACCGGACGCAATTTGCGATTGCTCAGTCGAGGTTGGTGGTGTGTCAGCTCTCACCCGTACCAAACAGAATTTATACCGTCGTCAACCGGTTGGATCATCGCCGGTATATGGTCTCTCGCATACCACTGCTGTGTGTGTGTGTGTGTTTGCGAGAAATACCACTGCTGGTTTTAAGTGAACCAGCTACGATGCCTATTACTGTTGCAGTGCACGATTGATTCTCTGTTTGCTTCTGGTTCCTAACTGGTTAAGAAAGCTGGCAAGTTCCTTTTTTCTTTTTCTTTTTTAAAAAAGCAAGATGATAAGTTAAGACATCAGACATCAACACATACATAAAACAAATTACACATGCACACAGGCACAAATGGTAAGACAAAACAAGCGTTAATCTCAGTTGCATGGTTCTCATTAAGAACCACTAAAACCACTTAGGCCATGTTCGCTTTGCTGAAAAGCCATGGCTGAAAGTATTGTTATTTGATTTGTTGTGAGAGACAAATACTATTCATTTACTGAAATAGTACGACTCATAAGACAAACAAACATGACCTTATCTTGTGGGTCTAGATACTCACACCGGTGGCCTCGTCCTCAACAACAACCTTCACAATACTTTAAATTTGGAGTTCTTTGACCATGCATACAGTAAGCCAAATGAGTCAATCGCATCATTCATGTCTCTTGACAAAGCACACCTTAGTATTTGAACTACAAAAAAAAATCATGCATATATGGCATGTAGTGGGAAGCCGTCGTGGCCATGAGCTTGTGAAGGTGAGTAGAGATGCAAGCGAGTTTGTCCAGAAACCCACAAGTATTTACAGGTTCGTGGATAAACTCGCTTGCATCCCTAAAGGTGTTGAGGTATTGTTATCCCTGCTAATGGTTTGGCGTCAAATGCTTTATGGGTTGGTTTTGAGATTGGATTACTTTGGTTTGGTGAATAGTGGATTGAGATTTCGGATGGAATGTTTTGGTTTGGACTCTCACTAAAAATCCACGAGTTTGAATTGAAACCGCAGGCTCAAATTGTGGTGTGAACTACAAGCCTAAAATGTAAGTTGAAACCACAAGTTGTGATGCACGTAGACTATCAGGCAGCAGAGCAGAGGATGCGGTACGACGTGAAGGTCCTAGTGCCGGAGAAGGAGGCGTCTGGGCTCGACCTAACTGCGCCATCATCATCGTTGGTCAAAACGGAGGCTGTTGTGCCACCAGTGTTGATGAAGAAGATAGTGACGACAGCCAACCTACTGGGGTGAGACCATTGGCAAGTTATCATTCTTGAAGTTGAAGAACTGTCATATTCAAGCATAGCACTTTGGACGACTACTTTCTAGGAAATCTAGTCGAGTGCATAGCACAAGTGAAAAAGAAAAGCAGTATGATGAGGAGATCACTGCTATAGACACTCATCCTTTACAATGACTAATTACTCGAGCTAGTGCACGTCACTTAAGTCATAAGGTGAATTCGTTACTCTCACTTTATTATAGTTTCTAAAGATGGTATCCTATTGAATTCTTGTGATAGTTTGATCCTAAGGAATGTGGGAGTGTCGCCTATGAACGTGTCAAGTTGTGTGGAGCTCCAATCAATTTTAACTCGGAACCAGCAGATAGCCATGCACTGAATCGATGATAACTTGTAGAGAGTCTAATTAAGGTAATTTTGGATGCATTGGAAAGCTAAAGATGATAGCTTTGTTTTGGCTTTGGTCTAGATTCGTCATCGAACATTCTTTGTGAATAAAACTGTTTTTTTAGGCCTTGTAAACGTGTTGGGGTTAGGAAACATATTAACTTCTACCATATCAAAAAGGCAAGTTACAATAATACATTTCATAATGTTTCTAATTGAGCATATATGTTGTCAAAAATATCTTGCTCAAATTTGATTAACTTTAGGATTGGTTGACTTAGGATAGATGAAAATCTATACCTAATAATAAAAAGGCAAAATTTCAGCCTATTTTTTTTTATCCGTTTATTTTTTTTTTTGTCCGTCTTCCTCTAACTACCGGACAATGGAGAATTTCTTCCGTCCGGACTTATATATATAACCCGTGCTCATACGAGTTAGAATAGCTCTTGTGTAGTGAGATACGAAGTCCGATTCAAAAAAGGTTCTTATAAAGTAACATAAATAGATATTTTTATCCAAATTGAATAAGAATCCTAACCTAAATAGAAAAGAATGCGCTTAGAAATTTACTTCTAATCTATACCTAATATTTTTATCTGGTCTCTTCGCATTCTTTTTTGTCAATCTGTTGTCCGCTTTTGCATCTTGTGGAGAGTCCATTTCAATTTCCTGGAGAGTCCATTTTTTCCCCCGTCGAACCTTGGCTCCAGGTCCGTTTCTGTTTCTTACATCTATAGAGTACTAGAGTCCGATTCTGTTTGTTTCTCTTCTTGTGCTTTTCTTCCCTTCTTCATGTCGTTCCTTTTGTCTTTTTTTTTCTTTTTCCCATTTATTTTTTCTCTTCCAATTTTTTCTGTTGTTCCATTTCTATTTTTATCAGTTTTTAGCTCGCATTGTCTTTTTCATTTTTCCCTATTTCTCCCTGTTATTTTTTTTGTCCTTTCCTAATTCCTTCGCTCCTGTGGTTTTTATTTTTTCATAAACTCAAAAATAAATAATAGCTCCTATGGTTTTATTTTTTGATAAACTCAAACATAAATAATAAATAAATATAATATTATGGGCCTTTCCACTATTAGCTTTTTTCTCAGAAACAAAGGTTTTCACCATCATGTTATAGCAGTTTATTATCTAATTTAGTCTAAGTAAGGGCCTGTTTAGTTTTCAAAAAATTTCACCCCAAAGTGTTATATCGAATCTTGCGGCACATGCATGGAGTACTAAATGTAGACGAAAAAAAACTAATTGCATAGTTGGGTGAGAAATCGTGAGACGAAACTTTCGAACCTAATTAGTCCATAATTAGACACTAATTGCCAAATACAAACGAACATGCTACAGTAGTCAAAACCAAAAATTTTCGTCATCTAAACGCGGCCTAAATGTTCCTATGTAAGATGAGAACTAGCACGTGGAAAATCGAGTGTGGATCTATTAAACTCTGAACCCTCTTTAAGAAGAGATTTACACTACCAAGATGTTAATTCTATTTTGATTAGAAAAAAAACTATCTTATTACAACCTATTAAACTTTTGGTCTAATTGATCAAACTTTAAATTGAAATATTGACCAGTTTATTGTTTGATCTAGTCTAAATAAATTTGTCTCTAAACTATATATATTTACCAATGCAGTCTCCCGCCACTAGGGTTACATGTGAAAAACTTAGATATGTCTCCCGTGTCCCGTCATAATCATTGGCTGATAGACCAACTCTTGATTATGAGCGCACAAAAGGAAGTCATGGAACTTATTTAGACAAGATACTGTATTTTCAATGCAAATGTAATCAAAAAAATATCAAGATTGTATTTTCAATTTTATACGGACTTAACAGGACATTGTTGTATTACTGGTAACATTAGCTTATATTATGGATGTCACTATCATCATAAATAAAATATAGCTTTTAATTTTTATAGAAAAAAGATAAAATATAAAATAGATAAGTACCATTCCTATTGTTGTTTTTCATGGATGTTTGATAGTCTTTTTTCTCCTGTTGCAACGCACGGGTATATTTGCTGGTATATATTGGCCATGTTTGCTTCTGTTATAATCCATTTTTTTCAGCTTGTATTTTCATCCGGAACAATGTTTTTCTCTCACAATAAATCAGCCAGAACAGTGTTTCGGCTTGTTTTTTCAGCGAAGCGAACGGAGCCATCGAAGGACGGATGGAGTATAGATAAATAAAAGATTCTCAAATTGCCTTTCCTAAATTCTTGTTGAAATTTAACCTAACTTCTTTATGGTTTTAATGTCCAAATTATTGCCGTGGGTTCCTTAGGCCGAGCCCCGAGAGTGCTCGAGAGTCTCTTCACTCGTCTTCCAGAAAACGCAAAAGCAAGGAATTTTTCACGGCGGAATTTTTCGTGTGTCATTAAAAAAGATCGTAATACTCTGTGTGTTTCTGAAAAAGTTTCGCGGTCTTCAACACC